AACATCATTTCATGGCCCCCCACCACGTGGGTTTGGTACTATTCCAAATCAGGTAACCAAAATTTTCTACTATGCTTTTTCTGATCTCTAATTTGGCCAAAGAAAACATCATTTCATGGCCCCCCACCACGTGGGTTTGGTACTAGTCCAAATCAGGTAACCAAGATTTTCTACTATGCTTTTTCTGATCTCTAATTTGGCCAAAGAAAACGTCATTTCATGGCCCCCAACCACGTGGGGTTGGTACTAGTCCAAATCAGGTAATCAAGATTTTCTACTATGCTTTTTCCTATCTCTAATTTGGCTAAAGAAAATGTCACGTCATTTCATGGCCCCCAACCACGTGGGTTTGGTACTAGTCCAAATCAGGTAACCAAGATTTCCTAGTATGCTTTTTCTGATCTCTAATTTGGCCAAAGAAAACGTCATTTCATGGCCCCCCACCACGTGGGTTTGGTACTAGTCCAAATCAGGTAATCAAGATTTTCTACTATGCTTTTTCTGGTCTCTAATTTAGCCAAAGAAAACGTCATTTCATGGCCCCCCACCACGTGGGTTTGGCACTATTCCAAATCAGGTAACCAATGTGAGTATCCAACTTGGAGCTATGAGCATTGCAAAAATTATGCCATGTCTTCAAATTTTAATAAAAAAAATAAGGTCGTTAATGGTTTCGTTGGAAATTTTTCTTAAGGTGAACTTCGTTCTGAAAGTAGATGTCATTTATCATCATCCATTGTTGTTGGGATTGGTAGAATAGAAGCTTACGCATACTATTATGATTGTTTTTCTCATGACACGCAAAAACAGTTGGAGCAAAGCGAACTCTTTTATTTCTTTCTCGCATAGATGAGCCAACTCTTTGTTTTTCTTCTCAGCTTGAAACCCGCAAACTTTGAAAGTACCTTAGCTAATCATGTGACTTCAATAGCTCCTCATCTTCATGTTCTTGCGAAAGCATGTATCTATAGTATGTCGCCCAAATAGTTCCCTTACTATTTCCTACACAGTAGCCTCGACAAGTAGACATCGATTTCTGATAATTGTTTTCGTCGAAGACAAAGAATTTCGGTATCTCTGGTCAATTTTTGCTGGTGCTGCACAGTACTTGAATCAGATTGAATAAAGGCTAGTCGGACAAAACTTCAGGCTCGCGATTCGGAGAACGTACTGATTGACGTGGGTGCTTTAAGCTCTTTTCCTTTTTTTTCTTTTGAACAGCTGGAGGACACTAACGTGTTTCACATTGGCCTTTGCAGTCCTAGAAAGAAGAGCGGTACGAACGGATGAGGAAAGTGACAAAGGTGCCTTGGGAGTAGTCAGATCAAATATTACGTGTGTTTCCAGTTCACTCAATCGCTGTGAATTGAAGATGAGACAGAGTGACTACGGTTCTGGGAGTGAAGTAGAGGCCTCTGTGTTTCTCCGCATCTGTTTCTCCATTGAATGATAAGTAGAAAAGCAAAAGAGGGAAGGGAGAGAGAGAGAGAGATCTGCGTCAGCGATTCATGAGATAGAAAGACCGATTTTTCCAATTGCAAAATACAATGATAGAAAAAGCCACCGATCGATGCAGTGTAGGGTATAATTAAATGTTGCGATGCATTGCTTGGTAATGAAATGATTTTAGTATAATTTTTTTATCTAATATTAAATAAAAATATATTTAATTGAAGAGGCAAATGGAATTTGAAAAAATTTAAACTTAAAAGCTCTCTCTCGCATTTATAAATAAAAAAATGTGGAATAATCACAACATTCTTCTTTCTTATTTTCCCTTTTTCTTCTTCTTGCCGTAGTTCTTTCGCGCTCAAACGCAACCTTTTTATTTCTTCAAGAAAATCCACTGTTATCTTTCTCTCTCTCTGTCTCCATCTGGCCACGCGCGAAAGGAGCAGTAGGTTCTTCCGGTAGGGTAAAAAAAAAGGATAAATAACGAAAATAAATTAAAGGAAAAGGAAGGAGGAAAGGGAGGAGAATGGAAAAGAACAGATCCGAAAGGAGATGAACTATTTCATTTCGTATAAATGCTTTCTACAATGCTAAAAAATACAAGGTACTCCTTTAAATTAGCACTAGGATAAATTTGTAATTCACCATAGATGCGACGCGAATGCAACAAAATAACATCTCATCTTCACGAGTAATTCATCACAAATTAAACAATCGATGCTCGCCACATTAAGAATTTATCTTTTAATAAAGGGTGTATATCGTTCGGCAAAAGCATTTTAGATTATATAGGATATGTAACTTAATTATCCCAAGACATGTGCACAGTACATGTTAATGAAAAAAGGTTAGCAATGTTAATGAGATTTGACAAAATACAAGTTTGGGTTAGAGAGAAGGGGGATGCCACTTTTTTAAGTTTGAGATTTGACATGCACCAACTTCAAAGTTATGAAGGGTAGAATGAAACATTCCCTGAAATGTAAGAATGAGATCTCACATTCTTCTTCCAAATGCATGGAGCGTAAGAGTCATCATAAATTCATAATGTATGTTATTTGAACTGATTTTCCTCATTGATGTAACTTTTTCTTCCGTGCCTAGTTGGAAAAAATTACCTCAAACTCTATCTTTGACTGGTATTCAACTTATAGAAATACCAATATGCAAACTTAACTAAAATCGAACATGAATGATGTTTGTATTTGTAACTCATCAACAAGAGAGATTGCATATAGTTGGTGCATGGAGAGGCAGCCTCTAAGGTGTAGAAATGTGACCACCCAACTCACTTTGCTTTTTGTTTTCTCTTTTTTTTCTTCAATTTAAGATCATGTCTTATTTTGTGTTGCTTGCTCCTTTCAAAAATTGCAAATTGGCTCAAGAAAAATTATAAACAAGCAGAACATCCCAAAATTAAAACTGTTTATCATAAAAAAAAAACCGCAAAAACCAATATTACTTGGAACAGTCGGGCCAAAAGTTAAAGCAAAGAAGAAAGAACACGTCTTTCCCTCGCAGACTGACGAGCCAACTCTCTGTTTATTTCTATTAGCGAAGCCTTTGCATGCTGAAGCTTTACATGCGAAGCTTTCTCATCTTTCATTTTCTTGTGAAAGCATTTATTGTATGTCCCCCCAAATAGTTCGCTACCGTTAGACTTACCATTTGCTACACAGTAGCCTATAGACGTTGATTTCTAGATCAAATGGTGCCCCCGCTGCTCGGTTCAATTGGAGGACAAATACTTCCCGCGGAAGTTTCTGGGAATGTGCTGATTGTGTCCGTGCTTTAAGCTCCTCCCTTTTTCTTTTGGACTGGCAACCATTGCGTTTCCCATTGACTCCAACAACAAGAAGAGGTTGTTTTAACAAAAAAACAACAAGAAGAGGTTCATGATGGCCTTGGAGACTCGGAAAGAAAAGAGTGATTGGGACGGATGAGAAAAATAATTGATGAATGCTTTTTGATAATGTGATGGTGATTGTCGTCTCTATCATATCCCTGATTCAATTGGCAAGTTTGAATACTTTTCATTTTTCCTTATTTTTTTAAATAATTACTTATATTATTTATAAAAATAAATATATGAAAAAAAATTTCATCGCTCATGAAAATAGTTAAGTATAAATAGTTATCGATGATAAAAATATTTTTCGTTGACTAATCTTTTCAAACATTATAAGTAATTATTTTTCGGTAAATATTTTTCAAATTACTTATTTTTCACGAAATGAATGCACCCCTTTAACTAAAGGTAACGCGGACAAAACTATAGGCGGGTGACTCGGAGAACATACTAATTGATGTGGGTGCTATTGCTTTAAGCTCATTCCTTTCCCTTTTTGACAGCTAAAGGCAACCAGTGCGTTTCACATTGCCTTGCCTTGGAGATTCAGAAAGAAGGGTGGCAGGGCCGGATGAGAAGAATAATTGATGAAAGCTCTTTAGCAATGTAGTGGTGTTTTCCATTTATCCTTTTGATTTCTCTCGCGTTTTAATTCACTTGACAGAGCTCGAGTTTAATTTTGAAATCATGCTTCCAGACACATTTTAATAAATTCTGGATGAACATCTTTCGAAGGGGGGAGTTAATCATAGATTTTTTTAAATAATAAATTCTCAGTTAAATACAGAATACAAACGTTAAAAGAAATGGATGGAAGAACTGCAACTCGTACTTGAATTTGTCCAAATAATAAATGCTGATCGATACATCTGTCACTATTATTCATTCATGTGATAGCGCAAGGAACCAACTTTATTCGATGGTGGGATGAATATTAATTTAATTTTATTCCCCGTCAATGATATGAAAGGCATACTTTATCTTTTTTCTTTTAAAAGGCTCATGCATGGTGAAAGCTCATTCACTAAAGTAAAAATCCCATGCCCACAACAACATGTTGCATCCAAATCCATTTAGCACGAAGGTACAAATGCTGAGATGGCCAAAATGAGATTGTGCACGACACATGAACAGTTAATTAATGGAAAACGTAAATTTCACTTGATTGATTGCTTAGCAAGTACCCAAAATGTGGTCACTGACGAAATCCTGACAAAATTGGGAGAGGCACGTGTATGAAGTGTACTGCCCAATTCGTGACTTAATTCGTATGTTCGCAGTTCTCAATTCGTGACTAAATTGGAGACTGCTGAGAGCCAATAGGAACAATGGGCAGGTTGTCAAGGCCAATGGGAGTGAGGACCACAAGAAGGCAAGGACTGAGTTGCTTTTAGTCAATTTGAAGTTACCTCCAGATACCACGTGTGAACGTATGAAATACACGAAACACCCAATGTCCTGTGAGAGATTAAAATATACATATGAAATATAATTTTGATGAAAAATTGAAAATAAAAGATCAAAATTAAGAAAATAAATAACTGTAATTAATTGAACTATTTTTTAATTTTAGTTCAAGAGGCATATGAATATAATTATAGTGTCAATATAGCTATTACGTTCTTTTTCTTCCTTTTTTTTCCCTTGCTTTTAGGCTATAAGAAGGCATCTCTAGATTCCCAATCTGAACACATATGAAATATATGAACCTTGCCTCCTGCTTTCCCTTCTTCCTCTTTACCAGCCACGCTATAAACGCGGCGCAGAGATAGTTGAGTAACCATTTCGTGCTCAAACCTATCCATAATAGTCGAGTCTCTGTGTGAGAGAGAGAGGGAGAGAGAGCACTGCAATGGAAGAACGACAGCCCAAGCGAGCAAAATTCACTGAAGCTTCGAGTTCGTCCACCTCTGTGATTGGAAACAATTACTACGTATTCCTGAGCTTTAGAGGTCTTGATACTCGGAATGGCTTCGTCGACCACCTCTACCATAAACTTGTAGACGTGGGCCTGCCGTTCCATCCAAACTTTGTGTTCAGAGATGATGAGAAACTCCCCTTCGGCGAGGACATTGCTACAAATCTTATCAGTGCAATCGAGCAATCTAAGGTTTCAATCCCAGTCATCTCAGAAAACTATGCTACTAGCGAATGGTGCCTTCGCGAGCTTATTCACATAATGAAGTGCCAGAAGAAAGGACAAAAAGTCTTGACCGTGTTTTACAAGGTGAAACCCTCTGAGGTTCGAGAGGTTCGCACCTCAGACGGGGCCTTTGGAAAGGCCTTCAGATCCAGTATGCATCTTTTTAAGGATGATGTCAAGGAAGAAGGGCCAGAAGCGCTCAGAGAAGCAGCTGCTTCTAGAATATTCGAATCAGACAAATTTGCTAGTGGGTACGTCGTTTACCTTGTTTTAAGAGATCCTCGCCGGAAGAAGAATATTTCTATTTATCATCGTTGATCCTTATTTTGTGGAGCCATTATTAAGTTGTCTTTTGTTGTGTTTTTTTTTTTTTTGAGTCGGTTTGTGTTGTGTTGTTTGACAGGCACGAAGGGGAATTAGTAAAAGAACTCGTACGAGTAATAATGGATGAGCAGCAACATGATTTCCTACCACCTCTTCCTGGGAACTTGGTTGGAATTGATGATCGCGTGGCTCAGGTAATGAAATTGGCGGATACCAATCCTTCCGAAACTCGAATTATTGGGATTTGTGGGATTGGCGGCATTGGTAAGACAACTTTGGCCACAAACATCTATAATAAGCTTTCTAAGAAATTTGAGTGCCGCAGCTTTCTTAGGGATATTAGAGAAACAATTAATCGCAAGGGTATGGAGCATGTCCAACATCTACTGATCTCAGATATAACACAAAATCTTCCCGGTGGAGTACGTGATTCTGTGAGAGGGATTAGAGGTATCCAATTAAGTTGTGAAAATAAGGAGGTACTCATTTTTCTTGATGATGTCGGTCATCGAGACCACATAGATAAATTGATTGGAGGTTGTAAGTTTAAGCCGGGAAGTAGGATCATTATTACGTGTCGAGATAAGGCCCTCTTAAAGTCTGAATATGAAAGGTATGAACTCGAACACATGAATTTCAAAGACTCTATGCTTTTGTTTAGCTCGTATGCATTTGGAGCGAAACAACCTCCAACAAAACTCGCGAATCTTTCTAGTGACATTGTTGCCACCACGGGAGGGCTTCCTTTAGCTCTCGAGATTACAGGTTCGCTTCTCAAAGGAAAACCTGAAAACATATGGATAGAGACGCTGGAGAAATTGAAGAAGGTGCCTAATAAGGATGTACAAAAAGTGTTGAGGATAACTTACGATTCATTGAAATACGAGGAACAACAAATGTTTCTAGACATAGCATGCTTTTTCATTGGAATTGACAAAAGAATTGCCATCTACCTGTGGAATGATATCCTATCGTGCCAAGATTCTGGACTGGACAGACTGACTCAACTTTCGTTAATAAAATTTGATGACGTTGATAAGTTGAGAATGCACGACCATTTAAGTGATCTAGGCAGAGCTATTGCCTGTCCGGCAAATAAGAAGCCTTGGGAATGTAGCAGACTATGGGGCGAGGAAGCCATAACAGTTCAACGAAGCAAGGTAACAATCACGTCAACTTTTGGCCTCTCCCATTTTCTCTAATGGTAGTCCCTCATATTATTACTCTTATTGTTCTCGTACTCTAGATCTTTGACCAGTGTCAACACGTTGTTAGCATTTTCTGGGTAAAATTGTCTACTTAGATCCAAGTTTAGCCTTTAGCTCATCAAAAGTTTGCACTCGTCAGTATTCCACGTGTCATCCTTGATGCATAATTATGAGGCTCAGAAAAGGGCTATCAAATTGTGTATAATTGGCTCTCTACTATCTTGCTCTTTTGCTGTTTTAACATCATTTTCTAGCGGTTTTGGTATTGCTTCTTACTATATTACAAGTTGAAGATCCTAGCGTCGTCCAGGTTTGGAAATTTACTTTTTCAAATATTATTTAAGTAAAGATAATATCGTAAAATAATAAACAATGCATAAAATTTTTCTATAATTTTATACCTATTAATTTATAATTTTTGACCAAATAACAAAAACTTCATCATGGATCATCATCGAATATATGCAGGTTCTACTTTACGGCAAAAAAATAAAATAAAAGAGGAAATAGCTCAGTTAAATTATTTGCACCTAATAACTATTGGCTATCGACTTAAGAATTTATTCAATTTGACGTAACAAAATCTTACGTAGTGATTTTTACAATTTGTTTTCTAGGATTTCTTATGCATGTTTACAACGGAAATGCACTATGATAAGGTAAATGCATGATAGAAAGAAAAAAAAATTATTTTTATTGTATTACCCAGGGAATGTTGTTACCATAATTGAAGAAGCAGCTTGAAATTTATCAATTTTTCAAATAAGCAAAAAATGTATAATTATGTTAGTAACATGATTGAGTTAGTTGCTAACTTGAAACAACACTCCATTATTTGGGTGACTCTCACTCTATAATTAATGGAAGAATCTTATTTATCTTGTTATAGGAATGATGCATTTAAAGAATTCAAATTAAAATTTTCAATTGCGACTTTAGCTTTTCTTTTATTGTCATTAGACCAAGTTATAGTCAAATTAAACAAATTTCATAATATAATGATGGAAGACTATTCAAGTTACATTAATTATAGAGTAAGTCACATAATTAAGGTTTTTGGTTTAATTACGAGCATTGCCTGTGCATACCTGGATCGTTCATGTTTATTCACATGAAAGGTTAGAACTTACAATATTTCGACACGTGATGCAACAATGTAAGGCTATTCTACCTTGCTTTCATAATATACACTGGTGTTCGTACCCGTGCTGTGCACGGATCTAATCATTGGTATTTGGAGCACATATTTTAGCATTAACGAATGTTGGGCAAAATCAAAGAACAGTAAATTACGATCAAAATAAACTAAGTAACATCCGAAACATGATTTTGCGCATGTTTGTACAAAGTAATTTTTGATGAAAAATTGAAAAGAAAAGATCAAAATTAAGAAAATAAATAACTGGAAGTAAGTAAGGGACGAAATAGTGAAAAATGAAAGAAATGGGAGAATTAACAAAAAAGTCCTAAACCTTTTTCATTTGTGCCAATTTAGTGCATCCGGCTAATTTTGACTCGAAATCATTAACATGGACGCCAGTCATCCTACATGGCACGTCCGGCGCTGACGTGGATAATTTTTAATATTTTTTCAAACTTATTTATTTGTTCTTTTCTTTTTCCATTTTTTCTTTTCTTTCTTTTTTCTTTTTTTTCCTTCCCCTCCTCCTTCCTCCAGCTGGACCTTGGCAACTGGCCAAAGGTGAGGGCCGGCGACGTCAACTTCACTAACCTCTGGCAAAGCTCGCCCCCGGTGGCCACTCAAGGCGAGGTCGGCCCTCCATGGGTTGGGCGAGGCTCGACCTTGTCGACCCTCACCTCTAGCCGAAACTAAGATCCTGCGATCGGTTGGAAGGAGGAGGGAAGGAAAAAAAAAAAGAAAGAGAAAGAAAAGAAACGAAAAGGAAAAATAAAAGAACAAAATAATTCAAAAAACATTAAAGTATTATTAAAATTTGTCCATTGTTAGTGTCGGCTGCACGTAAAATGGCTGACGTCCATGTCAACGGTTTCTGGCCAAAATTGGCAAGGTGCACTGAATTGGCATAAATGTAAAAATTTAGGACCCAATTGGCCATAAAAAACAAGTTTATGATTGAATTGGCACAATTGTAATAGGTTTAGGATTTTTTTGGTAATTTTCCTTGAAAGAAACTATAGACTACTCATCTTCAATTTATCTGCATTCAGTGTAATTCAATATCCACCTCTATTCTGTAATCAACGAGCCTTTCTTCGTGAGGGCCAATAGAGCCTTTTACGCGCGTGCCCATGGGCAAAGAGAAGATAGAAAAAATACTATTGTTAGATATTAGATGTTCGATTTGATAGGATTGTAGGAGCGGAGAAAAAAACATATATTAAATATCAAATAAGATAACTGGAAAAGAAACTAAGAAATGATAGAATACAAAAAGAGGAAAATAGTAATAATAATCGCGAACCTTAAATACCAAATCATAGATTTTGATGTGAATGCACAAATGCACTAACAAATTCTTAAGTCAGGCTGAATTATATCTTGATTCTCACAGCAAATCGGCACCGAAAGCATCTTTTTTAACTATAGCAAAGATTTGGCCAAATCAAAGAACAAAGGAAATACATGAAGATAATTAACGTTTATTAAAGTACTAGATCGACAGGATTATTTAATTTTAATCTCACTCAATTCCATGAGACAATAATTTTGGTTTTGCGATCAAGCGTACTAAAACTCACGATGCTATTTCGCATGCAAAAATGTGAAAGAAGCAATCAGTCTTTTTCATTGTCGGCTCTTTGCAATCGATGTAAAAATTCCGATGACGCTATGATATAAGTAAGAAAAGTAAAACTGTTGGGATGAAAATAGAAACTCTACTAGATAGAAGACGTACTTGATAATTGATGTCATTCAATTGGCGCAAAATTGAAAAGTCAAGCTCAACTTCCCTTCCTCAATTTCTTTCTTCTTGTGGATTTCTGGAAAGTTTTGGTCACGCAACATGCAAATAAAGAGATAATTGGGGAAATAGAGAGACACCCGTATGGAATTGCAGAAGGGTATATAATGAAAGGACAATACCTTAAGGTAAAAAGAAAGACAAATGAAATTCCCAATATAGATGCACATCGTTAATGTGATTGTGTAATTGTAACTTTTTGTTAACCTACTTTTATAGGCTTTTGTGCACTAAATAATATGTATTTTTATTGGCCGTAATGTGTTTCTTTTTATTAATAACCAATTTTTAAAAAAGAGAGGTTTTGTCAATTATTCTTCTCTTAGTTAGTTGCGTTTTAATTTGAAAGCTTATTCTTTTTTCGATGAAACAAAAAGATACTGCTTCGATTGCACAAAAATCGTCTATTGGAAAAGAAATGAATACACAAAGAGTTGCACTTCTAGAGAAAAAATGACCAAACACTCTCGTTTCCATTCAGCCATATGCCAAAATGAACAATATTTCATGAACGGAAAGGAAATAAGTTGTAATGCTTTATGAATGCATAAATGCTTGTAATAAATCCGATTGGGTACATTTTTTTTGTCCAAAAGTGCAACGGTCCTTACAATTGCGAAGGGACACCATATGTGCTCCGGTGGAGGGAATACTTGGGAGTCAATGCTACGTGTGTCACAGAATTTAATATAAAAACTTAGAAGAAACATAGACTATTGTCATGGAGGAATATTACATGAGATCACTAAAATTTGTGGCATGCAAGTGAAAATTGACATACAACATGATTGCGTAGTCATAAAAAGATCACATATACTCTGTAAGTGGAGAGAAAATGCATTAGCCACAATAGCATGCAGACGTATGCTGACAAAAGGAGGTTGGGCGGTATGCTATTCCTTGTTTAATGACACTTTTTATTCATGTCAAGATTGAGGAATGCCCTATGCTGGTATTTACTATCCTCAATTTTTCTTTCGTAGGAAGAAAATAGAAATATTGAGGCACTACGTCTCGACAGAAATGGCTCAATCATGTTCATGGGGCGAAAGAGCTTCAAAAGAATGCCTTACCTGAAGTTCCTTCATCTGAGTAAAGTGCGTTTTGTTGGAGATTTTAAGGATTCACTTTCTGAATTAAGATGGCTAGAGTGGGAGAAGTGTCCTTGCTCTTTCAAGGCGACTAATGTTCATTTGGAGAAATTACTCATACTTGATTTATCGGATGGTAATATTAGTGAAAATTGGGAAGGATGGCGTTCAATCAAGGTAAAGATGAGAAATGCTTTCTCTTTTGTTACATTTTGATGATGAATCATTCTTTTTCCAACTGCTAATCTTGGAACATGTTTCTTTCTTGTAGATGGAGAGGTTGAAAGTTCTCAATCTTTCTGGGTGCAATGCTTTGAAGAGAACTCCTGATCTCTCTAAGTTTAAAAGTTTAGAGATGCTAATCCTGGAATCTTGTGTGAATTTGGAGAAAATCGACCCTTCGATCGGAGATGTTGAGTGCCTCGCTTCCTTGAACTTGAGTAATTGTCGGAGTCTCAAGAAGTTGCCCTCACGACTGGGTCAACTGAAGGGCCTCGTTTCTTTAAACTTGTCATCATGTTCGGGACTCAAGAAGTTGCCCTCACGACTGGGTGAACTGAAGGGCCTCGTTTCTTTAAACTTGTCATCATGTTTGGGACTCAAGGAGTTGCCCTCACAAGTGGGTGAACTGAAGGGCCTCGTTTCTTTAGACTTGTCATCATGTTCGGGACTCCAAGAGCTGCCCTCACAACTGGGTGAACTGAAGGGCCTCGTTTCTTTAAAGTTGTCATCATGTGGGGGACTCCAAGAGCTACCCAAAGAAATAGGCAAATTGGAAAAACTGAAGGAACTTGCAATAGACGGTGTTAAAATAAAAGAAATTCCTTCATCAATAGGTTTTTTGAAGGAGCTGGAGATACTTGATGCCCTAGGCTGCGAATCATTGGTTGGACTTCCCGACTCAATTGGCCAACTGGAAAATTTGTCGACCCTTGACTTGAGATTTTGCGACAAATTTGAAGGATTTCCCGAGAGTATAGGATCTCTTGTGAAATTACAGCGCCTGTTGCTAGGCAATATACCTCCTCCATCTCTACAAGGGCATATGAACAGTTGGGATTATAGTGATGATTTTTGTTTCGATCGTATTCCCCCTTCAATTGGGAAGTTAGAATCGTTGACTGAACTGCATTTGACATGTGCAAAAATTTCGAAATTACCTAAATCCATTGGGAAATTAAAAAAATTGAAAATTTTGAAAATTTCTAGGTGTGCGAAATTGAGTAGTTTACCTCGTACTATTAGCGAGTTGGGTGAACTTGAAGAATTGGAGGCCACAGAGTGCCATAGTTTGGGAGGGGAAGTTCCTATAAATGGGTTGTCTTCACTGAAGATCCTTCGACTTGGGAAGATTTCCGATGACGAATATTTGTTTGCCAAACACTTATCTTCTCGACAACACCTTGATTTAACTAAATGCGATCTTCCTGCCAGCTTAACTGTTTTGGAAGTCACCTGTCACAATCGCACATTGCCTAAACTTTCTCACTTAATCCATCTAGGAGAGCTCAATTTGCAGCTTTGCGAATATCTGGAATCCATCCCAGAGCTTCCTTTAGGAATCTTGAGCCTTTGCATCTTCTGGTGTGGTAAGTTGAAAATGTTGCCAGATTTGTCGAGTTTGGTACTCTTGTTAGAATTACGTATCCTAGGGTGCAGTGAGCTCAAAGAAATCAGGGGTTTGGAACGATTAAAATCTTTAAGAGAACTATCTATACATGAATGCAAGAAGTTGTCCGATCTCAAGTTCCTTGAACAGCTGGAGTTTTTGAGAGACTTGGAAATGGTACAGTTTGATGCTCCACAAATGAATGATGATCTATCCCAAGTTTAATGTCTTGGCAGATTGAAAAACTTGGAACCGCTGCGTATTGATTCCTGCCAGTCCCTTATAAGACTCGACACCAGATTTGTCGAGTTTGGTACTCTTGTTCGAATTACGTATACTAGGGTGCAGTGAGCTCAAAGAAATCAGGGGTTTGGAAGGATTAAAATCTTTAAGAGAACTATCTATACGTGAATGCAAGAAGTTGTCCAATCTCAAGTTCCTTGAACAGCTGGAGTTTTTGAGAGACTTGGAAATGGTAGGATTAGATGCTCCACAAATGAATGATGATCTATCTCAAGTTTAATGCCTTGGCAGATTGAAAAACTTGGAATCGCTGCGAATTGATTCCTGCCAGTCCCTTATAAGACCCGACATTTCACAATTAACACATCTGCAGGTATTATGGGTCGGTGAATGCGAAAACATAGTCGAAATTAAATGCCTTGAGAGGTTGAAAAAATTGAGACATTTGAGTATCCCAGAGTGCAATTCCATAACACACCTCTCGCTCCTCAATAACCTCGAAGAATTGTACATTGATGACTGTCCGAACCTTCATGATGTTCAGGGCCGAGTCAAATCTGTGAGGTGGTTTGAGGGGGTGGGGGGTCGATATCGGGAGAAGTAGGATGAACTTACGGAGGTCCGGGAATCCAGGCGTCTAAATTCTAAAAGAAGTTGAGCGATGCAAACTTATTGGAATATCGGTCATTGCGCTGCTGCAGCAGAGAAACAATCGGTTCATGAAAATAACGCTCCGAACAGTCGAGCGCTCTGGCCACGATGTCGGAACGATTCGCATGTCCTTTCCAAGGTAAATAAAAGCAGGTCACGCTATTCATTGTCCAGATGTATCGCCAATTTCATCAACATTTCCTCAAGCCGTCCACAAGCGTCCCCTTCTGAGTTTCGAATGATGCAGGCGATTGCTCCTTCCATGGAGCTTTCGACGAAGGGATCCATCAGTGGCGACCTTTAAAGATCCGACCTTTGGGGGTTTTCCAGTTCTCAGAAGAGGTGGGAGCGTCAAGGTCCGATTTTTTGCTTTGAATTCCATCTCCTGTAATTTCCGAGAGAAGTTACAGCTCCCTGTAGTGCTTGAACTGGATCTGGGAGGTTTCTTTCGAAAGATGAAGTCGTTACGGGAAGTCCAAATAAACCAAAAGATGGTTGCTACAACCGCCAGAGAAGGTGGGTTTTCTGTGCTTTTAAGGAATTGCGTTAGCCATATCTCTATTTTGCTTGACCCCTGGGAAGAAACCTGAATGTTTAGGGATGGTTGAGCCCATATGTCTCGCGTCCAAGGACAAAAGAGAAGGAGATGCTCTGTGGATTCCACCTGGTCTTTGCACAATGAGCAGTAAGGATCTGGTACTATTTTTTCGCTTGTGTAAGTCCTCCATTGTTGGGTAGACTATTCTGATGTGCCTTCCATAGAAAGAACTTAATTTTAGGGATTGTTCGCATTTTCCAGATCTCATTTCATAAAGCTCGAGGAGCCGAGAAAGATGAGGAGGCCATTGGAGCTTTCGGATAGTCTTGGTAAGTCTTATGTAGTTGTAGCCACTCTTTACTGAGTAATTTCCTGTTGATGAATATATCCACATCAGTTTGTCTTGAATAGAGTGGGTTCTTACTTCTTAGAGGAATAGCCCGAATGTCCTTCACAGTGCCCTCTTTGAAAATATTTTGAAGGAGAGGTTCATTCCAGGAATTTTCTTCGTGGTTTATATGTTCTACTACCTGTTGTGGGTCATTTTCATTCGCTGGCCCTCCAATTACACCTCTTTTGAACCATCTGTCCTTTCCGATACTGATTGCTTCTCCTGTTAACACTGTCCATATTGAAGATTCTGAGATTGAGTCTCTTCCCTCTAGTAAGCTTTGCCAACCCCAAGAGGGTCTGTGCCCTTTCCCAGCATGCCAGAAACTCCTTTTTGGGAAGTATATTCCTTCAAAAATTTTCTGTGCGTCTTCTTTCCCTTTGCATAAAATAATTAGGTTGAATTTAGTCAGTTTCCATGACAACAGGGTATTGTTTCCTGCTCCTACGTGATTCAAGGAATGGGAAATCTAATCGAGGAGAATGATGTGATGCTTCAGAGAAATCATTTTCTTGACAATGCAAACAGTGATCAGAATGCATTCCATGTACGTCAGATGTCATGAGCCATCAAATAAAGATTGTTCGTCTTGGATAAGCTATCAATTACTATCCCAACCAAATCTGAGTTATAATTTTCTCGAACTACTACTTTTGAAGAATGATTGGCTTCCTCCCTGGAAATCTATTTGGTTATGTTTGTTCGCTTGTGCAGATACTTTCGATTTCATATTTTCCATGAGGATGCTCATAAGCCATATGTACTTTTCTGGAAATCCCTTAACTACAGTTATCTCAGTCCCTTAACCATTCTTTTTCATGGTAAATAAGTAGCATGTTCTGATACACGGTTATATTTTCTTCACAAGATTCCCTGGCCATTTTGTATTCATTGATCAGATTTATGTGTCACATTGGACCAAGGGCAGAATATCGATCAATTCATCCAGTCTGGAAAAATCATCTTTTGATTTTATGTCATAATCATTCAAGCATTAGAATTTTTACGCTGTGCAAGGTGGATTTGTTCCATTGATGCTCATTAGGGACATTCGAAATAGCAAGATATACTATATCGTGCTATACACGACAAAAGAACCGATGTCATTTTGATCCGGGACATGAAACCGCAAGAGAACCATAGGTGGAGGTGGTTCTGTTGTGAGATTAGGAGTGAACCTGTGTAAATGGACTATTTGTTTTGGCATAGGAATGTAAGCAGAGCTGGATGTTGTAATTGCTTTGTGAGAGTTTTGGTGTCAAGATTGCTCTGGAAAGATGGAGATTCCTCACTGGCATAGTACGGCATGTTTCGGTGCTAATTGATTTAGTGGATAACAAGTTGATCTCATGATGTAGTGTTGATTTGCAGGAGCTGTTAATGCCTTTCTTAGTGAAAGTTTTTTAGTTTGTTGAAGCAGCTAATCGTTTTCTTGGAATGTAGGTTACTGAAGTATGACGAGGAAGATATGCGAGGATAGGGGTGATGCTATGTTATGGAGACGCGAGTTCAGTCTGATGGTTTTTTGTAAAAGCAAGCTGCACATTTCACATATTCAGCTGCTTTGAGGACGGTTATGAGGTATATTTTTCCTAGAAGCCTAATTTGAAGGTTCAAATCCTCTTAGACTAAGCCTCAACTTGAATGATATTGCCCAACAATGCAGGTTGTGGTGAGAAGATGCAGAGCTCTCACATTGGTGTTTCCGTGTCCCTATTGGGATATGAACAAGTTCGATTGCTTGTCAAGAGGATTCAACTTTAGAGAACCGGTGGATACAAAATGCTAATAAACATGGAGGCTATCTGTTTTCCTGTTCCTACGAGTGGAGATTAAACATGGAAATTGGGGAAGTTCAGGAGTCGAATCTTAGAGGCACTGAATTCTCTATGGACTTCCCTTTCATAAATGCCAATTTGACCGGCTTGCGTAACAAGTGTGGTTGTGCTCAAGTCATCAATTCAAAGTCAAGCTCTGAATGTGGTAATGCAATGCTAGTCTCTACTCTCTAGTCCATGTCCACTTGCCCAAAGTAGCGCATAAGACCAGTTTCCTATTGTTTATGCATCACTTGTTTGATTCAGGAATGGCTAAATATGGAGGTCTAGCGAAATTATACTTTGACGAACCTTGTCCTGGGCTGTCTGACTCTGAGTTATTAGTGAAAGTGTTTCGAGTCATTCTAATTATCCATTGTACATGTCGAAATGTACCTTACTGCAGCCTTGAATTAGAGAGGAAGATATCACAAGAAGTTGATGAAGGTTGAGTACCATAATTTCAAAAAGGACAGCTTCTGCGGCGGGTGTGTTCTCCCTAAGAAAGACGGCATCGGAGAGGACAGTGGTTGGATCGTCTCTTGGGTACATAATGAAGAAACAAATGTGTCCCAGGTTAAGTTTAAGAGTTTCGATACAATCATCATGTAGCTTTGCCTTCCAGTAACGACGTACGATATGATTTTGAGATTGTGAAATTTGCAGGTTCACGTGATTGATGCACAGAAGTTTGAAGGCGAGCCAGTAGCCAAAATCACTCTGCCTCAAAGAATACCCTATGGATTTCATGGTACCTTCGTCTTCATACCGAATTGATGATCAGGACACCAAATCTCATGTACAAATCATAGTAAGAGGCCAAAGAGAACCATATGCGGAATTGGTTCTGTTGTGAGATTTGGAGTAAAGTGCCTGTGTAAATGGGCTATTTGTTTTGGCACATGAATGTAGGCAAAGCTGGACGTCGTAATTGCTTTTTGAGAGTTCACATTACGGCGGGATTCGGCACTAATCGATTCAGCCGATAACAAATTGATCTAATGATGTAGCATTGATTTGGATGAGCTGTTAATAATGCCTTTTTGAGTTATATAGTCCTGCAGTTTGTTGAAGCAGTTATTTGAACCGACGGAATTCATTAATGTTGCAATTTCGTAATCATTGTTCTTGACCATTCAAGCAACTTGAGACTCTGGAATTATATTTGGGAAAATTATCCAAAAAATTCTAAATTTATTACATTTTTATCAATTCATTTCTAAACCTTTCAATTTTGTTAATTAAGTCATAAACATTTACATGTTTTTCCAATTGAGTCAATCCAGCTAATTTTAATCAAAAATCGCTGATGTGGACATGGGCCTTCTTACACAGCACGATCGGCGCAAATGTAAACAAATTTTTTACGATTTTTTTAAATGATTTGATTTTTTTGTAAATTTTATTCTTTTTCCTTTTCCTTTTTTGTTCATTCTTTTCTTTTTTTTTCTCTATCAAATCTGGCTAAGGTTGTCGGTCAACCCTTGTTGGTCACAGGTAAGGGCCGGCCAACCCTCACCGACCACAAGCAAGGGCCGGTGACTCTCACTGGTCATTGGACGAGGTCGCGAAGCCCTTGCCAGCCTCTGGTGAGGGATCGTAGCCCTTGCTCATTGCTCACAATTGGTGAGGCGGTAATTTTCGCTAAAATTGATCGAATGTACTCAATTAGCAAAACGTGAAAAAATTTAAGTTTTAATTGGTAAATTAAAATATTCATGACTAAATTAACAAAAGTGTAGTAAACCTAAGACCGGGAAAAGTGCCAAAAAAGTCATAAACCTTTTGCATTAGTGCCAATTTAGTCCTAAACCTTTTTTTGGTGCCAATTCAGTCCTAAGCCTTTTGCATTTGTGCCAATTTAGTCCTAAACCTTTTTTTGGTGTCAATTAAGTCCTAAACCTTTTAAATTGGTGCCAATTCAGTCCTAAACCTTTTGTTTTTGTGCCAATTTAGTCCTTCCACCAATTTTGACCGGAATTTGCCGACGTGACGCCCGCGCGGCCACTGGCCGTCATCCTTGGCCTTGACGTGGATTAACTTTAATAATATTTTAATATTTTTTTGAATTTTTATTTTTTTTTCCTTTTTTTCCTTTTTTTTCCACTTTTTTTTTTTGGTCTCTCCCTCCTTCCTCTGGCCGGCGAGCTCGACCTCGCCGGCCACTGGCGAGGGCGAGCCTCGCCTTGGTCGGGCGAGGCTCGAGCCCTCGTCGGAGGCCGCGGCGAGGGCGAGCCTTGCCATGGTCGGGCAAGGCCTGACCTCGCCGGATCTGGCGAGGTCGCCGCGGCCTCCGGCGAGGGCTCGATCCTCGCCCGACCAAGGCGAGGCTCACCCTTGTCGGGCGAGGCCAGCGAGGTCGAGCTCGTCGGCCTCTGTCCTCTGGCCGGTCGCTGGATCGGCCAGAAGAAGGAGGGAGAGACAAAAAAAAAAGTGGGAAAAAAAAGAAAAAAAAGGAAAAAAAGTAAAATTAAAAAAATATTAAAATATTATTAAAGTTGTCCACGTCGGTGCCACGCCGGTGACCGGCCGCCGGCCAGCAGGCGTCCACGTCGGCAAATTCCGATCAAAATTGGCCGGAAGGACTAAATTGGCACAAAAATAAAAGGTTTAGGATTGAATTGGCATCAATTTAAAAGGTTTAGGACTTAATTGGCACAAAAAAAAAGGTTTAGGACTAAATCGGCACCAATGCAAAAGGTTTAGGACTGAATTGACACCAAAAAAAGGTTTAGGAGTAAATTGGCACTAATGCAAAAGATTTATGACTTTTTTGGCACTTTTCTCGTAAGACCTTTTGGACAATTTTCGATACAATAATTAGAACGAGTATAAGTCCCTACCAAACTATGCTTATCGAGTAACGACCGGCATTAACTTCAGATGTTTGACAAGCGAGGAGACTGAAATATGGACATTTTGACTTTCGCCCCCTAAAAATCTCCAATAGTCATCTCGTTCCGATGAAGTCGGGAAATGAAGAGCCTTTCACTCCACATAAAGCGGTGGGGCCCAGCCACTGCTAAATCCAGTTACGCATGGTTTGGTTCGCAAGGAGATGCCCACGTCGCCGTTCGAGAGGCTCTTCCACGATTAAATCCACTCGTTTTATTTATTTATTTATTTATAAATTTTCCTATATTTTCCCCCCTGATTGATTTGCATCTTGAAGTAGAAAATTGCAAAAAAAGGAAGGGTACGTCATTGGAGAAGGAAAAAAAAATGAAAGGTGATCTAGCGTTTGAGTGTTCTTTTGTTCAAACAAACACGAATGGTGTATGCAATTTTATCAAGAACTACAAAAAGAGTACTTTTTGTGCATTTGTATATGAAATTCATACTCAGTTTGGTGTGTAGGTTAAAGTTTTGCGTTCTGATAACGCTAAAGAGTACTTTTCTGCACCTTTTTCTGACTTTATGACTCAACATGGTATGATCCATGAATCTTCCTGTCCTGATACACCACAACAGAATGGTGTTGCTGAAAGAAAGAATAGACACTTATTGGATGTTACTAGATCCATGTTGTTTGAAATGAAGGTTCCCAAAACCTTTTGGTGTGATGTTGTTCTAACTGCATGCTATCTCATCAATCGCATGCCTTCTTCTGTTTTGCGAGGTGGTATTCTTTTTTCTACTTTGTTTCCAAATGTGTTACTGTTTGTCTTACCACCCCGTATTTTTGGTTGTGTCTGTTTTATTCGTGATCATCGACCTGGAGTATCAAAACTTGATCCCAAGGCTATCAAGTGTATGTTTTTGGGTTATTCTCGTACTCAAAAAGGATATCGTTGTTATTCTCCGTTACTGAGAAAATATTTTATAACTATTGATGTTTTATTCTTCGAATCCACGCCTTATCATGATGTTCCAATTTCTGTTTCTGAGTTTGATGAAGACTTCTATGTGACTACCCTTCGGT